AAAAAAAAAAAAAAAAAAAAAAACTTCAAAATGTAGCAAATAAACACTCTTGAGAGTTTGGAGGCTTGAGAAGGGCATCCATTCAAGTGGCCAAAACTTAAAGTGCTATTGGTTGTCCCCTTTTTTGTCCCAAACAAAACAGATGAACCTATCAGATAAAAGGTCCACTTTTCTCCATACATAAGTTCTCATTTTCTTTATTAATTATTTTGAGTTGTTAATTGTTATTAATAACATGGTACTATGTAGGGTTATTTTTTTGGTTGAGAGAATAGCTTTAAAGCTACCTGGATAACTTTGGGTACAACTTACAACTGTTATTGGTCCAATGTAAAGTGTGAACCAACACAATAAATGAAATTAGAAGAATTAGGGAAGTATTTAAGGGGGCATTGGGGCTTATTAATTCTTGCATTAACCGGCTTAATTATTAGGCGGCTTGACTCGTCATAGTTTATCAATAAACTTGTGCTATGACATGTCATAATTTTGTTCGTGTTCGTGTTATTTGACAAAGTGTAATGTTTCAAAGCGCATCTGTTGAGATTGGAAAAATATGATTTTGTAATATGCGCATTATTGTAAATAATTATTATCTTTATTTAGAATTTAAAATAATTAATTTTTAACTGCTAGGCCCTGGAGATATATTTTTTTCTCAGCATAAAATGGTACATGAAAGTAACAATTTTATTTTGGCCAGAAATTACAATTTATTTGGACTTTCATACATAGAAAATAAGCCATCAACATTAAACGAATTAAACACTAGTTCATGTCATGTGCTTTCCTGATTACAGTTTTGTTGTGGAGCCATTCGATGGCATGATTAAATGAATTTTTGTTCCTGATTAATGCCAAGATATAGAGGATATGCTGGAAGATGTTAAAATGTCACTGTTTGGTTAAACATATTCTTTTGTTGTACATAAAGACGGTTTTTAATATATATAAGAAAAAATGCTCCTTAATTATATAACGATTATTATTATTATTATTATTATTATTATAAAGATACTCCATTTGATTTGTGATTCAAATTCGATATTCTTGATTCGTATTGATGATAATGGAATGCTAATTTGGATAAGAATGGTATTTTATTCAAAATATACACCATAAATATAAAGATATATCCATTCTATTCAAAATTCAAATATCCAATTCGTTAATACAGTTATATAAAAATTAATATATCACAAAGAATAAGAAAATTTCATCATATAGTATATTTATGTGTTCGTAGATAATATTAAAAATAAATTTCTAATTTGATCAATTATATATATATTGGATTATTTTAAATAAAAGTACTCGAATATTATCATAATTCCAAATCGATCAAATAGTTGTGCATTTGTTTTTGTTTGATTCATTTACAATCCTACTTTAACCACACATATAAGCTGAAAAATGCAAGTGCAGAAAGAGTCGGATATTTTATTTATCAAAATTAACTAAATTAATCACCTTAGTTGATAATTATAATTTTAATTGTTTTAAATATATTGGTAGGGAAACTATGACAAAAGGAAAAATAACAATAACAAATAATACTATATAATATATGGATATCCATAAATGTCATTTCAACCTAACTAAGAAATAATAGAAGTCATAAAATCATTTGTTTGGTAAATTGGAGTTAGGGGAAAAAGATTGTTAACTGTTGAGTGTAATTATTATTAAAAAAAAAAAAAAAAACTGAATTATGATTTATATTTCCTCTAATTAAGAAATGAAGTTAGGGGAAAAGATGGTTTTCTTTTCTCTCTCTCTCTTCTTTTTTTTTTTTGGCAAAATCAATACATTTGGTACAATTCAACAGAGACCAGCTCTCTGAACATCACTAAAGAAAGGAGATAAAAAAGACGGGAGACAATCCTTCCAAAAAGAAGGTCCCGTCAACGACAATGTCCTACTACCTAGACAATGGGCAACAAAATTCAAATTTCTACTAATATGACAACACGACCCACATCCTAAGAGAAACAAAAGAGATAATATGTCCGCAAAAATATAATACAAAGGGTCGGTTGGCGACATATCTAACAAACCACAAACAACCGCAAGGGCGTCTATCTTGGCATATTGAATCGAAAATCCAGCATCGAGAGCAAAATAGAGACCAAATGATTGAGTTTAAAGATGATTTGATCTACCCTTAAGTCTCTTCTATACATCAACAAAGTCCCCATCTCTTTGTATTGAAAATATGTTTGATTTTAGTTAGTTTTTTTTATTATGATATTTAAAAACTTAAATCCATTTACATACCAAATTAATGCTTTAATATCGGTAAATTGGACTTATGAAAAGATTTTTAAGTGTAATGATATAAAAAGATTTCCCACCAATTAAGTTATCTCACACAAAACTTGCCACATTCTTATGAAATCACATAAAGTTTTCCCCACAAATGCTTATATCTTGTTGGCTCCATTTGTAACAAATACGTGCTTTTTGTGCTAGTCCACTCTCCATAATTGCTTTATAACTAAAAATAATTATGAGTTTGTCTTTTGATGATTAATAATATATAGTCTTTAAGAATTCACTATAACTTTAAACTATGGGGAAATGCTAAGGTCTCGTTACGGAACAATTCCGTCGGAATTTGTAACCGTCAGAGATAATTAATTTAAAGGTTACAGATCCCGACGGAATGGTTCCGTAACAGGACCGTAACATCTTCCCACTTTATGATTTGTCCATTATATTTATATTCCCCCTCCTTTTTATGTTTATATTATCATCTTTAAGATCCAAATGTAGCATTTTTTAACCATGCATATTGTTCCACGCTTCAAAATTCACATTTTCTTGAAAAAATGTTTAAGAAGGAAAAGGAAATTGAAACTACTAGTTAAAGTGGGCAAAGGTAAATTTGAATAGAGCAACCTGAAAGATTTTACTTTGGCAAGAAATACTACAAAAAAACTCTTACATTCCAACGGAAATTTCCCGTTGGAATCTTTTATATTTTCCGTTGGAATAGCTATTCCTACGTATAAAAATTCGTGGGAAAAACGGTCGTTGGAATAGCTAAAATCCAACAGAAAATCTTATGGAAATAAATTCCTACAACTATTCCAACGGAAAAAATTTGTTGGAATTCCTCAAACTTCCAACACTTATTCCAACATAAAATTAAGTTTGTTGGAATATTCATTGTAATTTTCAACGAAAATCTTTGCCGCTGGAATTTTTCGTTGGAATTGAAGTGTATTCTTGTAGTGAAACGTTTGAAAATAGCATCTTGATGTTTTCTACAAGCAAGGAAATAAAAAGGGAAAATCTACATTCTCTAGCTATATTCTCTCATTTCATAACATCTCGAATGCATAAATGTTGTTATTACATAAATTTTGTGTCAATTATTTAGATAAATTGTGAACTACATAAGTTTTGGTTAAGTTC